TAGAGCCATTGGTGCGAAGAACTTTGAAGACATTGAAAATTCGACGGAGAGCTTTTGGAACTAATACTTTACAATGGTGAGAAAAGTCAAGAGTCCTATCATAATGAAATCTCAGGTCACGGACTTCAGGTGCCACTTTGAGAATTGAATCACTCATTATTATTCAATACATTATGATATTTTTCCCCTTCTACACCCATTTACAGACATGATAAACAAATAAATATTTATTTAGTACGCCAATAAGCAACCAGTCTCCTAGAGTATGTAGGCCATTGCCTGAAACGACCTGTACAAGACTGTACTTTCTATTGTGAAATTAGCCCCCGGGTTCAAAACTATCAAGTAGACCAGTTGGTGGCAAAGCCACAATCAATTTTACAAGAGTTACTTCTACAGCCACCATTATACTTACCCATCCACTTTCTGTTCCAAACACATCAGGAATCCTTGCAGAAGTTCGTCCTTATCATCGAAACATTTGCGTAAATCATGTGGTCGATCTGTGATCTGCAACACATCAATCGAAGAAAAGAGAATAAACAATAAAACATGGGCAATCGATATCCCAGAAAAGGCAAGAGCTAAACGCCAAGGATATGTTTGATCGACAAAATCTTCTCATGTTCACGGCTGTGTTAGCCGAGCCTGGACGCGCGCGGATGAAACGCGTAGTGTATGGTTGAAGTATGAACGACTTCGTTTAGCTTGTGCTTACGCATCGCCACTTGCTTTGAATAAAAGTTAATTAGATAGATCGATTAGATAGTGGAGTTAAAAATTAGATAGATCGATTAGATAGTGGAGTTAAAGTTTCCTGATGAAACTATCTCAGTCTCAATAGATTAGATAGTTAAGTTAAAGTTTCCTGACGAAACTAGCTCAGTCTGGATACAGGTAATCGTTTTTGGTATTCCCTTTGGTAACAACAGCTGGAAATCGCGCGAAGGAAAATTAATTTAACTCACAGCGCCAAATTCGGAGAAGCACGGTCCACTGCATTCTTTTGCCTGCGCTTTCATCTCTTCGATACATTCACGTTGCTCTGCACATGAGCACTGTCGTACAGTTTCACCGGCGATTCGAGCCTGGGTAATGACTTCTGCTCCATGCTTGGCCACCTGAAATCGTCGATCGTTCAGGTAGGGGACTCAAACAGCATTCATTTTTTTCTGGAAGTGAGAGGTATTACTCTAGAACTCGCATTCTCAGGGAAACATGGTATATAGGAACAAGAAAAGTAGGGAAGCGAAGTTGTTCGTCAAGGGAAACATTCGGCTGTCGCTTTTTAGGCCAGTCTTCTGTCGTCCAGCCAGTCCAGCAAGCATACTAGATGTTCCTAAGCGTTTCTAAACGTGACAAAACTGCAGATGTGAGCTCACTTTTAGAGACTTTCGGAGTTTCCGAGCTGTACTTACTTATAACTTTGGTCAGCAAATCAGTAATCGATTATAGTCACACGCGATTGAATCATTTGTTCGCTAAATCACGATTGCCATCAGGCTGCTCAACGTTTCAGCCAAATCCAATGATCTCTGACCACTTGTCACATACGGTATCGTCCCTGATGTTCGCTCGTCTACGGAGAAACCTTTGACGTTTTCTCTCGCTTGAGAGACTAGCGAAAATCTATTCTCGTATGACGAATGTAGACTATCGTGCACCCCAGTTGACATGAATGCAAGGATAATATGAAGTAGCGCCACGTCCTCATCTTTCATTCAAATCGCAGAGGGAATTTGAATGACGTATGGGAATTACGGTCCCAGTCTTGGTTGAAGCTTTCCATATAATTATAAATTTAACTGCCAAATCCGCTAGTGTTCAAGGTGATGATGATTTTTCAGTGATTCTACTGCTCAGTAAGCCAGGAAGGTGTACTTCTTGCTTGGTGATTCGAATGATAAGGGAAGCTGAACTAGTCTAGGCAAGATCCGATCTAAGGACCGGGGAACTGCAATGTAGTACACCATATCTGTCCGTGAAGCCTTACTCAGCCTTTTATTAAAAAAAAGGAAAAGCTCCCTTTTTTTGTAATAACTCCCCTTTGCCCACAAGGCCACATTGTTGAGGCCACTTACATTTTATAAAGCCATTTAGCGCGCCGTACGTTCCTCTACACCATTTTTCGGTTCCGTGACAAAGGCAACTGGTTTGGAAACATTTTCGGCATGCTCTGTTCCCATGGATTATAACCTTATGGACGAGCGACAAAAAACGCCAACAATTTTCAGTAACAATGAGTAAATGTGGAGAGACATTGAAGGCAAGTCAGCTTCTGTATAATAAGGAGTAGAACATTCTCTATACGCCACACGGAATGATCCCACCTGAGAGGGGATTTCGTGAAAGGATGAGTAGGAATTCGTTAAAGAAATAGAATTAACCTATTCATTCCAATAGCTCAGCATTTGAGCTTAGAGAAACCTTGTTATAAGAAAAGCTTGCCATTGGGAGCCCATCCAGTTAACTTGGGTTGGGTAATGCGGATAAGTATGAAGTTACATTTAGCGAAGAATAATTTCTGTTCAAGAAAAATTTCTTTACATGATCGCTCTCCTTTTAGGGTTCAGGGTCTTTCAGGGATCGCTCCATAAGGGACGGAAACGTATCATTCGACTTCACATTTTCGACTTTTTCCCACTTTTTATCGAGCCGGATCTAGTAGCGTAAGGCTATTCAGTCACTTTTCTTCCATGAGAAAAACTCTGCAGTTGTATCTGTTCCATGTCCCTTAAACCAGAAGGGAGAACAGGGCCAGGGTACCCTTGACACACCGAGAAATACCAAGGCTTAATCATTGTTGTTCACCCAACGGTTACTCATAAAAGGGCAAGTGACCGATGAATCCGAGATTATTTCGGCTACATTGTAGTCACGGATTCGTTAAATTCAAGGACAATAATGATGCGAAATTGCCTTTACATCAAGTATCGATTGTTTACATCGAAGAACAAAGACAGGACATCACAGTGTATGAAAGTGTGAGTTCTTCGGCGGAGACTTTTTTTACAGCCATGTGTAAGATGTTGCGAGAATACGTCATAGTCATCAGTCACGTCATGGAAACGGCGGTCTACGACACCAGAAAGATCGTATAGCCCACAGAGAGAGAGTCTAATCCCACAGCTAAGCTCTGAAATGCTATGGACCGGAAGGAAGCTTTCTTCCACGCATTGATGGCGACACAGTAGGCAATTGAGCAACCAGTCGCTTTCAAAAAACAAGTCACAAATCGTTGTTGGTTGACCAAGTCGTTGTATACGATGTGATTGCCTTTGTTTGTAAACATCACCATTAACTGATGAAATTATTTCATTTGATTAGACAGGCCAAAAAAATTGATGTTGATGAGAGCCAGAACCAAGGTCAGGACAACACAAGATGCAAAAAATCTGGGTAAAATAAAAACGCAGCACGGTTTAAGGGATTGTTCTGCAAATGCAGTTTCAAAAAAGTGGTTTCTTTCTTTAGTGCTCCTGAACTGCTGTTGGGTGTAGTTCTAACGAGACTGGCAAGCTTCGTTTACTTTCTCGTAGCAGAAAAACCTTTAAAGTTGCTTGGCCATTGCTGATCAGAGCCTCGGTATGCGCCACGCACTGTATTCCTACCCCAAATGACTGTACCTTCTACAGTCGATCCGTGATTACAAACTCTTTCTTTCTGATAACTGGTTCGTTAGCTGATTCAAAAGAAAGAAAATTCAAAAGCTCGTTACACCTATGAGTTATTCGCTTTGCGAACATTACGAAGACTGTCGCGTCTGTTGCCGCTAAACCACCCCGTGAGTAGGCGCATGATTGGGTTGACCTGGGAGAAAGCAGGGGTTCCCAGATTTAGTGTGGTAGGAAAGCGAACCTGCTACCAACAATATTCATACAGCTCACATATCTAACAGACACGTTAAAGAGAACACAGAGAAAAATCAGGTAAAACCACTTGGTATTTTGTCATTTGTACTTTGGGACTTGTGTTCTTCTTCGTGGTTTTCCATTAGATGCGAGACCTTCCCATAAGGCGAGGGATATGCCATCAATTATAAAAAAACAAAAGTAACGTAATCTTTTGTGACATGTTCCATTATTGAGAAAATGAGGTTTGTCACAAATAGGACCAAAAAAGAGCTCTTCACAGACAAGTACTCATTTTCAAAGAAACGGTAGAGAGATTGGAGCAATGGATAGAGGGGCCTTCACCTACAAATGCTAATGAGTTAAAAACTACCCATGTTACCAGGCCTCACGTCTCCCCGTTTCGAGGTGTCTTCCTCGGAGTCGTACTTATTAGGACTTATTAGGATACTTATTAGGAGCTCCACTGTAAGACTGGTGAAATTAAAGTCAAGAATAACCCACCCACCGTTGAGAAAGACAGCCTTTCCCCTCCCAATCTCGAATGTAATCCCTGAAGGTCCTTATTCGATTACATTCTTCTACGACATATCGCATTAGCCACATCCTTGGAGTGCTAATCCGTTTTCTCGGTAGAACGGACGTTCTCTATAGGTTGTGATTTGTGTTTAAGGCTGTGACCAAAATAACAAGTTTTTCGGGCGTTTTACAGTCTCAGTAAATGCCCGTGAACTTCATCGATACGGTTTGGGCGCGACCATTGTCATTCGAGTCGCTTCTTTTTGTAATTCTTCTCAAGGCTTTCCTTTATTACATGGCAGTCTACGGCATGACAAATGACGCAAACAGATGCTTTGGGTAGAGGTTTTTCCCCCACAGATGCCGAAACCCTTTATAATGTAGATGCCCCTCGCTAAAATAAAGTACCTGTAAAGTACCGGTAATTAGAGCAGCAAAAATTCTAGTTCGGTCCAAGCGGTGTGAAGCGGTTCAACGAATTGGTATTCAGAGAATGCGCCATGCGTGAAACAGTTGTGCTGGATAGAATTTTCACCCCGTATGAATACGATGGGTTATTCACGATCAGGCGATGTTCAAGTAATTGAAAATTATCGGACACACACAGAGGAATTTGACGAATCTAGTGGGAATCGTTCCCGAGCAGTATTCTGTTAGTCCACTAGTTGTTCCTACATGAGGAACTCCGTCTAGGGCTTAAGAGAACCCACTACCAGACTGAAGGCTATTCCTCGCAAGGAAAAAGAGCTCTGATGGTAGTGTAGGAAAGTGGATAGAAGTTGATAAGTTCGTGGATGCTAAAACGGCAAAGAGCGATGACCGAAAGTGCACCTTTTACGGATCGAGTTCTCCACTAGTAGACAAAGACTTCACTGTGGCTGATACGGAACCGGACTTACTTTGTATGCCAAATGATAGTTGCTTCGACTATTGTTACAGTCAAAATACGGTTAATTCCGAGATTGATCATCAAGAATCGTTGAGAAGGTCAATTCCCAAGAAGGGCTATGATTAAGCTCTTCTTGGGCCTCGTCCATCTCACCGATTTACAACAACAGAAAAAGTCAGCATGAAAAGCAAAGGGGAGGCAAAGTTCACCTAAAAAGATGGCTCAAAGGGAAAACTGAGGGTTTAATCACCTCGAACACGTTCAACAAACCTTGAAACTGCTCAACTGCTCCTGTACCTCACAAATCTATTGTCATAGAACAGTATCATTGGGGAAAAATACAAATCAACTGGTTGATATCTCGAAAAAAAA